TAAGGGCCTACTCCGGGTCCTAGAAGCAGGAGAGGACAGGTTCTTTATGCAGACAGCTGCTGCTCATGCTCTGGTTCTTGTGCCTGTGCATCTGTATCCCAAGATGAAGCATTCAATGGAGACTCGTCTCCAGCATTAAAGATTGCACTCGTCTATGTACATGGTAAGTTACATCAGAATCTTCACCAGTTCAACCAATGCCCCTTTCAAGCTTATAAGCTCTAAACCCTGCAGGAAGATGATAGGAATGCAGCCAGAAACCCTAAACCCTGTAAGAACATGATAGCGACGCAGCCTTAAACCCTGAACCCTAGCCGTGAACACTCTATTTCTTGACGCTGGGAGCCAGTCCATGTTCGTCCGAGCTGCAACAGATCATCAAGCTCCCACACTCAGGGTTTAGGGTTGAGGGGTTCCGGGATTAGCATTTTAGGGGTTCAGGGTTTACGGTTTGGGGATGAAGGGTTGAGGGGCCGGGGGTGCAGGAACTCGGGCTTTAGGGTTTACGGGTCCCCGCGATCGGGCATCTAGGCGTTTAAGGCTCAGAGGATACATGAACCAGGAAAGTTTAGGTAGGTTTTAAGACTTCGGCTATTCGGTGTCACGCACCAATGCCACTGTGAGCACGCAACTAACCAGTAGTTATAGTCTGGATCGACGATTTGATAGCAGCTGCAACAGCAACCTCGGCGATTGCGAAACAGGTGCTACAACCGCATCAAGATAGTTGAAGGGTGTCGATGCAGGTGGGGTCCACAGACCCCAGCTGCACCTAATCTATATGTATGTACACATATGCCTTTATGTGATACAACGACCACATGTCCACTGTGCATACACATAGACATGCATACATACGATCTAAGGTTAGAAGTATGAGCCCCTAATATGGACCCTTAGGCCTTTCTAGGGACCCTCAAGGGTACCTTTAGGGTATATACTAGGTGTATACAGATCCCAGGGCTAAGGGCCCACACTAGGGGCCCATATGGGTAGTTGTCAAAATGTTGGTCCCTTTTGGGGTACCCTAAATAATAGGTGCCGTATTATGATCAGGACCCATAAAGGGACCATAATCTTGACAACCACCCATATGCGAAAGCCATCCTTATGGCACCTCTGGTGCCAAGTCATAGAGGTCCTCCCCGAAGATCTGGCACGAGGGCAGAAGAGACGCTGGCTCTAAGGAACTACCGATAAAGGGTGCAGGTTTGCAACTCAAGGGTTCGGGGTTTATGTTAAGGTTGTGTTGTTAGTTTTTTCTAGGCTTTGGTGTGCAGAGAATATAGGAAATGTAGGTCTGCTACGTGAAAGGAAAGGCCGCATGACGGCTGCAGGAGCAGCAAAAGGGGGAGGGCTTTCGAAACTCAAAGTTAGCTGAACCACTGCAGCCGAGACCGTGAGCGGTTGGCAGACCATGAAACAGGTAGACGTTGAATGCAAACCCTAGCCCTCAACTACAAATCTAAACTCCCATTCTTAACTTGACCCTCCATTGAATGTAAATGCTTATAAGTCAGAACCCTGGCCAGAAACAATTGCCCAGGGCATTCCCACAGCGTTCGCAGTCGAGCATCGAGTACCCGTATCTGCCCAGATAACCATCCCACGGCATGGGACTTGATTTCCCCCTAGGCTGGCTAGGCACCGCTGTGTTGAGACTCCGTCCAGGCCTTCAGTTAAACTACCCACACGACCCAGCGCAAGCACCTTGGGTATGTCAAAGTCATCAAGCAATCGCTTCCGGTCACCTGACAAGTGAGCGGAACGAAACGTTTGCAAATCTTTCAAGCAGGACATGCCTAATTCGTCCAAACCTCAGAAAAAGGACGTACGGCAGACGAGATCAAACAGATGCTTGACCTTCATCGCTGACCGCAGCTCAACATCAGGTTAAGTAGCCAGAAATGAACGTACTGGAGTAAGAGCAGAAGACTGATACAATCAGCCAGGAGAGACAGAAATAGTTTATCAAACATACATGGTGAGGATCGTCACAACGATCATACCTGTCAGCCACTAACAACAACGACAACAACAATAAGAAGAAACGCTCAAACCAGTACGAACACCAATAACAAAACTACGGCAATCAGACTCCCAGCAGCAAGAGCCCGCGTCAGAAGAGAAGTGTCAGCGAGAGCCAGGGGGGTTCGACACTAAACCCCAAGCCTCCAGAACAGGCACATCAAGCAGCAACTGCATCCTCAGAGGCCGGAGACGATATCGCACGCCCTCATCCAAAAGTTCCGGGGTGAGCTCAGTAAAAAGGCGTTTGAAGTGGGAACTCATGGAGGTGCGCACCTGTGAAGTTGCGCTCCCACACGTAGAAAGGCCAGTCCACCTGCGCAGCAGGCTTATCGTCAGCTGTATATGAACAATCTTGCTGAATGGTTGGAGGCAGCTCATGTTGGGCGTCGCCTGTACCCTTTTTCAACCAGAGCCCAGAACAAAGGGTCGGGATGGTCTCTCTGTTTGTGGGCTGGGAAAGCAGCCGCAGCCCGCCAAAGCGTCGGAGAGTCTGCGTTGTGCATGACTGGGAACAAGACGGTTGCTTGCTCAACAGAAAAGGAGATGGTCGGATTGAATTCAAGAACAATCTAAACAGTAAACCCACAAGAGAAGAGGACTTCGAAGGATGCCTCAAAACTGTCACCGCTTCTGGGTGTCAGGAGGGTGGTAGAGATTCCATCAGAGAGCATGGGCTCTGAGACAGTGCTCCACTCGCCCCTCCTGCAAGAATCAGCAAGATAGGCGACTTGTTATAAGCCGGCTCGTTGCTCATGCAATGTCTGGGGCTTGGGTGTCAACGGCCGCAGACTTCCGGAGACCAAAGCAGCGCTCGAAGTCCAAGATCTTGGACCGCGGTGCCTCGGATCCCTCGGATGCATAGAACTCCGAAAACGCATGTGCGAAGTCGTTGATGTTCTCGCGGCCTGTCTTCTGCAGGCGGCTTGGGGGCGAGCCGGTGATCCAAAGGTAGACGGCCTCGGGCCAAGAGAGATTCAGAGCCCTCTTAGCCAGCCAGGGGTTCAGAGGGCCCAGGCCGGACACGAAGGCGAAGACGGACATCGCAAGTAGCGCCGCCACGAATTGGCCTCCGATGTAGAGCCCAACGACATCTTTGCCACACTGGAAGACCGCCATTGGACCCAGCACCCGAGCTGGGTTCAGTGCGGCACCGGTGTACTGGCCACCAGAGCCCGCACACGCCAGCAGTGCGAGGCCCACGGCGAAGGGCGTGTGGCTGCCATGCCCCGGTTTGGCCACACCGCAGGCGTAGACGCAGGAGATAAGGGTGAAAGTCATCACCTTGCTTCTCACAGGGGAATATATGACATACTCGTTTATCCTACATCCCTGTACTGCTAAACTATAATTATAACTGAACCTAAGTGCATCAATCAATGAGAACCCAGTCACACACTCCCAGCCGAAGACCTGTTCATCGGTGATGCCCTCGCCGATCGTGCCACGGTCAAAGCATCCGGGGCCGCTGGCACCCGTGCCGATGAGGTCGCCTGCACCGGGCACCAGTCCGGCCGAGACCCATGCTCCGACAATGGCTCCGATGATTTGGAGAGCAATGTAGATCACCTGGGTCAGTGTAACACCGCCGTTGAAACCCACTTTCCGTGGACAAAACAATCATTTTCGATGAAAAATCAAGAAACCCA